TTGAATAAATGAATAACTAAATCAACAATAAGTCAAATAATAAATCAATCAGTCATTCAGTCAGTTTTTTCAACACAAATAGCGGCTCATCTTGAAGATGAAAAGAGTGTGGTATCAATGCAAGATTGTAATAAAAGAAAGCCGTTTCTTTGTCAATTCGTCGAAAAAAATAGTAAGTATACATCTGTTTTATTTATTTGATTTAATAAATGTACATCATGCATCATGTATTATTATTATTATTATTATTATTATTATTATTATTATTATTATTATTATCATTATTATTATTATTATTATTATTATTACTGGTGAAAAGTCTGGCTTATATTAAATATATAAAACTTTCCAGTTCAATATATAATTATTACTTTACTGTATTTTATTCAACAATTGTCCATGCGCTTTCTTACCACCAGGAGAAAATTGCAGAAATAAACATAGTTATAAATCCGCTAAAAAAGAGAGAAATACTGCAGTGTCTAGTTTATTTTTATATTTTATTTTTAAGTATATTCTTATTCTAAAATAGAAAGAAATAGCCCGTACTTTTACAATTAAAAAACAACACATTTATAATAATAATAGTTATTAATCTAGTATAATCACAAGCCTATATTATATGTGTATAACGAGGTTTATGGAATTTATTTGGTATTTCTCTCTTTATGCGGACAATTTATTACAAGCATATATATTTTCTCATGAGAAATAACTGTCAATGATAAACTTTGGATAAAGCTCCTCTCGTCAGCGGTAAACTACAAAGGATATAGGGCTCAGTAACATTCACGATCTGAGCAAACTAATCTTCCTGATTGTTTCTACCGTGACGGCTACCGGTATTGTTCAGATTATAGGGTCTTCGCCTAATTTGCGTGGCCTTCAATTGGTCAGCTGGACATTTCCTCACCCAGAGCTATATATGATCATGGAGGAAAAAATGTATTTTTTTCCTCCATGATATGATCATACATTTGGCTTAATATCTTAAAACAACAAATTGTGAGAGGTCCATGCCCATTTCTTATAGCGGTAGCAGCATTAACATATTCAACGTGTTAATAATATATAATAGTTTATCATCGCTATTTTCATCATTGTCAATATATGTTCATTATTAATTCAACACTCAAAGGCAAGTTAATTAAATGAAATTTAAAAAAAATCTGTTCAATTTATAACACTACAAGTATTTTAATTCATGATGTTCTGCCTTCACGAAAAATGTAAAATAACATACACACATACGCTCTAACTCAGAACAGTACATACTCAGAAAACATATAGATACATACATAATATGTACGTCTAAATACATACAAATAAAGATAGAACGCTAATCAGGAAGCTACTTCACGTGTGCCTTTTATGATGACTTTTTAATGTATTTTTCTAGTTAAGTTGTTTTCTTTCAAGTTATTTGTTATTATTGACGCAACTCCTGAGTGCCGCTGATGTAAATGGTGTCTGTAAATGAGTCGATAAATGACTTGATTTGACTAACCGCAACGAATTGTCGTTATTTACAATCTTCAAAACAATCAATCCATTCATCCATTCAGTAGGCCTACACAAGTTTAGCAAAAATGCCGAGAGTAAAATTTTTGCGAATACATACATAGGCCTAATACAACTATGGGTGGCAACGGGCCAAGTGGCAAGGCTGGGTGGCAACGGGCCTACTGTGGCAACGGACCGGGTGGCAACGTTCCGGGTGGCTAAGGGCTTATGGCAACGTGCCGGGTCAACGTTCCGGGTGGCAAAGGGCCTATGGTGGCAACGGGCCGGGTGGCAAAAGGCCGGGTGGCAACGGGCCTAGGAGGCAAAAGGCAGGGTGGCAAAAGGCCGGTTGGCCAACGGGCATAGGGTGGCAAAGGCCGGTTGGCCAACGGGCATAAGGTGGCAAAAGGCCGGGTGGCAACGAGCCTAAGGTGGCAAAAGGTCGGTGGCAACGGGCCGGGTGTGCAAAAGGCCGGGTGGCAACGGGTCTAGACCCATAACCTGCGTATAAGACGAGGCTTAAAATAGAAAAGTAGGACTACGATAAAAAAAAACAAGGAGTCATCTTATACGCACGACATACAAATTTTAGGTTTGTTTTTATTTAGTGTGGTAAAAGACGATCTTTATTTGCTATTACCATCTTCAACATTATAGACACAAACAAAAAATAAAACATTTATAAATATTTATATACAAATAGCCCCGAATCTATCATGAATAATAATATTTTTTTTAGATTTTTTCAGTCATTATTGGCTAATGCTGTATATTTTTCTATCGAGTAATACTTATTCACCTCCCTTTTAAATATATGAATACATGGCAAGTTTTTTTGTATCTTACATCTGTATTATGCATACGACAAGGCCTTAGATTTCAACTTTCTGATTCTAAACAAGCATAGTTCGCTATCCTGTAATGTTTAATTTAGTATACGTTTTGATCCAAGATAAGACTTCTCTTCAAAATATTGAAATAATAGAACACGAGTAAAATGTATGATCAATTGTTGCGTCATACTTATTACAAAATGTACACAAATTAGTGGCAACATTTCTATTTTAAATAAGAAAGGGTTTATTTACCTTCAAATTTCTGTGTATGATTCGATATTGCAACCATCTTAATTTAGTATCTGTAGCAGAGGCAAATACCAAATATGAGACTGTGTTTCAAGTGGAATCAACGATTATTTTACCTAAGTCCCTCCGCCATTTATCTTTATAAGTTTCCTTATAAATAAAATTAGCACAAAAAACCATTGTATATTCTTCTTGATCCCCGTTTATCCTTTAAAACACTACTAAGTTAGGCGGCCACCATGGCTCTCCATCTAACACGATTTTCTGCTGCTCTCTCCTCGCCTCCATGTAAGATAATGTTAGGCACCATCTCTTGACGTCATCACTCCATTTGATTTTCTGTCTCCCTCTTGTTACCGAGCCATCATAAATTAATTATTGAATTCTAAAACTCACAAATAAAATATTTTCCTTGTTCCTTTCATAGCTGTAGAAACTGAAGTGGTGGATCCTTTTTGTCGGTGGCTGGTTCAATGGCACCGCTGTATATATATGAAAGACATGAAAGTACTAATGCAAGACACTTTGACTTGATTGAGACATTGAATTTTATTTGTACGAAATTTTCGGTAGCACCTGCTACCTTCATCAGCGTACGAGTACGGTATCTTAAGATATATCATGGACCTATTAATAAGTCCATGGATATATATTACAGCAAACAGTATATACATGTTAACAATTTAGAGGTAACGATGGATGTAGTTATTGTACATAAACAATGTAAGCCACAATGAATAGAGCCTTTAATGAAGCGGAACGTTCACAAGAACAGTGGATACTAATCTGATAGGACTAGGATAATAAATTAAACCATAAAGAAGAATTAGCCATCAAAATAATTAAGGAAGAATTACGCGAGAAATGATAAATCAATCAATATATAATAAAATATGTATAAATAGAGGCCTATGATAAATTACAGGAATAAAAAACGGGAACTGTACTAAAGAGTTATGAAACATTATTTAGTGAATGTAAAGCCTGAAGCAAAACCTAGGTCATGTTAGCTCCTATTTTACGAGTCCTAAGTTTCAAATCCATTTTATTTCTGCACATCTCCTTTCATTAAGTGATCTGAAGTTGTTATTAATAGTGATACATCTCATATTATTAATGGTGTGCCTAGCTCCGTTAAATTGTTAACATGTATATACTGTTTGCTGTAATATATATCTTTAGATACTCGTACACTGATGAAGGTAGCAGGTGCTACCGAAAATTTCGTACAAATAAAATTCAATGTCTCAATCAAGTCAAAGTGTCTTTGAATATAACAATACACACATAATTTTAAATCAAGGCAAGAGTAGGAATCTATAATTATTATAAATTTATATTTATTTACAAAGGGGTATCATTTTTATACCAACGCCAAGACACGTTTTATATTGTTCTGGAAAGTAATCCTGAGATGTATGCCCGAGATGCCTTCTTCTTGTGCCTAAAGTAAGTAGGCCTACATGTCCTCATTCATTTTTTGTACGTTTATTCTACAGGTGTGAAAGACAAACGTGATGGGAGGGGGACAAGAGATGAAACTAGCGAAGGTGACCAGTGATCATATGACCCAAATTAAGGAACCCTGGACTCCCCATATGGGATATACCTAATCATGTTTTCGAGGAAACACTCGTTGCACTTCTTTACAGTCTGAGAACGTCATTCTCGGCCATCTAGAAGTGTATACCGTATTCTTTAAATCTGTTCCAACCATGATGGGGGTGAGGCAGGTGAGGGAACAACTGTCGGGAGCCATGGTACTCTCGTCGGGAACCATGAACCCTGTTGGAGATAATATCTTGATACGTCGTTGGGGAATCTTACGCGCCGCCTCTCGAATAATTTCTTAATGCTTCCACTTTCTGAAAGTTAAATTTCAAGTTCGTGATTCAAGTGTGTAATGCACGCCCCAGAAGAGAATAGAAAATCCCAGATTATATTTTTGACAGGTATGCCATGTCAGCTTGCTCTTCTTAAAAAAAAAGAACGATAATCCTATGTCCTTATAAGAAGTATCATACATTATTTAAACATTTTTTGTTAGACGTGGTACAATTCCACTGACAATTGAAGACGACCAGGAGCATCAGGATGTGTTAAATGCCATCGTCAATGCTAAAGGCTACACTAATGTTGTTTTAGGTATGATTCATAATAATAGCAAACAATATTTTTTCGTTATCATTTGTATTATTATAATTATCATGATTTCTATTATTATTTTTATTATTATTATTATTATCATTATTATTGTTATATTATTATTATTATTATTGTTATTATTATATATATTTATTACTGTCTCTTATACACATCTAGATGTGTATAAGAGACAGCACATAATTTTAAATCAAGGCAAGACTAGGTATCTATAATTATTATAAATTTATATTTATTTACAAAGGGGTATCATTTTTATACCAACGCCAAGACACGTTTTATATTGTTCTGGAAAGTGATGCTGAGATGTATGCCCGAGATGCCTTCTTCTTGTGCCTAAAGTAAGTAGGCCTACATGTCCTCATTCATTTTTTGTACGTTTATTCTACAGGTGTGAAAGACAAACGTGATGGGAGGGGGACAAGAGATGAAACTAGCGAAGGTGACCAGTGATCATATGACCCAAATTAAGGAACCCTGGACTCCCCATATGGGATATACCCAGTCATTTTTTTCGAGGAAACACTTGTTGCATTTCTTTACATTTTGAGAACGTCATTCTCGGCCATCTAGAAGTGTATATTCTTTAAATCTGTTCCAACCATGTTGGGGGTGAGGGCACAACTGTCGGGAGCCATGGTACTCTCGTCGGGAACCATGAACCCCTATTTTCTGAAAGTTAAATTTTAAGTGATTCAAGTGTGTAATGCACGCCCCAGAAGAGAATAGAAAATTACAGATTATATTTTTGACAGGTATGCCATGTCAGCTTGCTCTTCTTAAAAAAAAAGAACGATAATCATATGTCCTTATAAGAAGTATCATACATTATTTAAACATTTTTTGTTAGACGTGGTACAATTCCACTGACAATTGAAGACGACCAGGAGCATCAGGATGTGTTAAATGCCATCGTCAATGCTAAAGGCTACACTAATGTTGTTTTAGGTATGATTCATAATAATAGCAAACAATATTTTTTCGTTATCATTTGTATTATTATAATTATCATGATTTCTATTATTATTTTTATTATTATTATTATTATCATTATTATTGTTATATTATTATTATTATTATTGTTATTATTATATATATTTATTATTATTATTATTATTATTATTATTATTATTATTATTCTATCTATTAATTTTCATTTGTTAAAAACTAAATTAAACAAATATTTTAATGATATTTAATTAATTTCTATTGGTTTTTTAAAAATTATTATTCATTTCATTTTTTCTGCACATCATTAAGATGATAGTGCTTTTACTTTCGCTGCTTCCAAGCTCACTTATTATTCTTTTTTTTTCTTTTGTTGACCAAAGGTCATTTATTCACAAATATCATTATATCATTGTAACGTATTCATTAACATCTCTTAATGAATGTGTACAAAGTCAAGTTGTTTTTTATTTTCATTTTTTTTCACTTGTTGACCAAACGTCATTAAATTATCCCTATAATAATCACAATAATAATAATAATAATAATAATAATAATAATAATAATAATAATAATAATAATAATAATGATAATAATAATAATAATAATAATCACAATCAATAATATTAATAATAATAATAATAATAATAATAATAATATTAATAATAATAATCATAATAATAATCACATAATACATCATAAAACGGATTTTATTATATATCAATTAATAAATTCTTATTAAAAGCTTTTTCTAATATAATTTTTTCCTGCATGATTTTTCTATATTTAAGCTCAGCATAAAAGATTGGTATAATAGGCTTTGATAGCTCAGTGATGTTTTCACGTGATATTAGCCATGATTTATAAATTACAGAGGTTGCCAAGGTCATGAGTTCATTTACAGTATTGTATTTTTCTTCTATATTGTGAATTTCCTTAACAATTGTATTCATATTTATAGGCCTATCTACTATAAATCCATTGCTTTTAACACCCGTTTGATATTAGAACAGTATCCCTTTACTCGCTTACATTTTAGAAACATATGTATATAAACATCTATTAGACCACAAAATGTATATAACGAAGATTTAATTATTTTATATTGGTATAGTTTTTTATTTGATATAAGGATGGCATGTAATAGTTTGAAATTTAGTTGTTTGAGTTTAATCTCATAAATTTCATAATTTTTTTCCATATGTTTTCCAATTCAATATGATCGTCTTGCACACTTTGCCATTATATCATTCCTTTCGGCTGAATAAATTCCTTTAGACTTATGTTTTAATATATAAATTTATTATTTACTTTAAACAATGAAGTAGATTTAGAGCTATCATACTCCATAATTTGGAAATTATCTATGTTTTCTTTGGGTTTTATTACGTTATGTTCTAGAATTATTAACCACTTTTTAGGGATTGCATTTCAAACAGTCAAATATTCTGTTACCCACTTACAGCAATGTACTAACTTATCTTTAAAAGCTTTGGGGTTAATTAATATACCATTTTAAATTATATCTTGAATTTTAAATACCAGAATCAATACATGTACGGGAATATAAAACTCTATTATCCATCTTGATATGAGGGTTTCCCCAGATATACTCCTTATAGATTTCATTTGCTGTCACAGGTTCATGTGTTAACCCTCCTCCTGCTACCATCCAGGCTTCAACAACTTCTTTGTAGAAATGCGGCATATTAGCATTCACTGCTTCTATAACATGTGGTGATTTAAAAACAAAAAGTTCTCTACCTATTTTATTAAAATGAAAGTAGGGGATGCATTTCCGTAAAGATTTGTCATCATTCTTCAGAAGTTTTTTGCAGCCACATAATTCTCAATGTATGATATCGTGCCTTAAAATTTGGCATATTAATACCTCCCTTTAAGACTGTGGAATGTAGTGTTTTCCTGAATATTTTGTCTGTTTTGGAATCCCATAGAAAAGAAAAGATTATTTTATCAACTACCTGAAAGACAAATTTGGGGATATCAATGGTACTGGCAGTAAAAATTAGTTGGGATAACGCTAAGCTATTAATTATAGTCACTTTACCGAAAAGTGTAAGCCGCTTCTTTTATTATTTTTAATTATTCTTATATTTTGTGTTAACGGCTAACTTCCTTAAAGCTCTTGTTGAACTTAATGTAGCTTCCTTAATACAATGTATTTGTTTCAATTCTTTTGCATTCATATTGAATATTGTACTACTTTATTGTATGGAAAATAAAAGTCATGAGGCAAAAGTCCCCGTTAGCAGAAATGGTCCATAGTGAGCTGTCTGATAGTCGAGAGTGAGCTGTCAAATGGTCCAGAGGGAGCTGTTAGAAGCTCCATAAACTTACTTTAATTGGCTTTAAGTACATATTTGTTATTACTTCGCCATGCAAACCTTCAAACAATACTTGATTTGTATTGCCAGAATGAATAAAATGAAATATAAATTACATGACTCTTACGATTTGAATAACTTTCCACTTTATACTGTTCTTAATAATAATATTATTATTTCCAATATCAATTTTAAATACTCTCAGTTATTCGTTTATTTATTAAATAAGTCAACTTTGTACCAGTTTCCAACTAGAATTTTTTTTTTAATCTGTAGGCTATTTTTTTTTTTTCATTATGCAGGTGTTGCGTACATGAGGGAAAGTAGAAGCTTTAAGTGGCTCGATAACTCTACATATAATTTTACTGCTGTTGGTACCGGCAACAGTTCGGCGAATAATTTTTGGATTTTGAAAAAAGACGGCTTGTACTACGAAACAGGAGAAGACAAAACAGACGTGGAAATTGTTTGTAAAGTTAAAATTATTCCTCCATGAATTAAACATTCACTAATTATTGTTAATCATGATGCTCCCATAGTGGAGGAACTATGACGTGATCGAAAGAATTAAAGAAAATTGTGGTAATAAGAATCAAATTATGATCTGCTGACGTCACGGTTAAGCTGCAGTTGTCCTCATGTATTGGTATTACTATTCGATTTGTTCGTCGACGCGACGCTTGAACGGAATCACCGTCCTACCTGGCGTCCTACGTTCTCAGCATGCACTCTTCTCTGTACTGTAGATTTGGCCAAATTGCGTTCTACAATCTACTCGACGAGGTGACCTTAACGTTCTCGCATGCGCAAATGACTTTTAGTGACGTCATTACTATATAGTTTCCAACTAGAAATTTTTTAATATGTAGGCTAATTTTTTTTCATTATACAGGTGTTGCGTAGGGCATATCCATTCAGTAAGATAAAGTTGTAGTGTACTGTATTACACAAATCTGCAACTGCCCCTGCAGTAACGCTACCCCCCCCCCCCGGGCCTGGAAATTAATACCCTATAATTTCTACTCCGATACGCCACCCTTATTATAGTTGTATGAGAAAAAGAGTTCTATAATAGGAATCGAATCCGTTATCTCTAGCTATCTCGGTGAGCTCATACCGTTTAGACCACTGAGGCCCGTACGATATCATTACATATCTCAGACCACTAGTCTCTCACCCTTCATACAACTTGCGAGCTCACACGTAATAGGAGAAAATTTTAAAGCTACTTTAAAATACTTATTTTCTATTTGACTTAATATCTATGTATATAATTATTAACAGTGTTAACGGCTATCTTGAGATATATATGTACAGTATGTATATATATATATATATGTATATATAATATGGCTAGGTCCTAATTGTTCTCAAATAGAAACATGTTATAACATACATGGGGCCTAATGTGGTACAGGAAGCCTGACTTAAAAAAAGTGTTACGACCTCGTCTTCATTTTTTCTCAATAAATTTTGAGGCAAATATACTATACCAGCCTGTTTTATTTTATTTATACAATTTGGAGGAATGATTTAAAGGATAAGGGAATGATTAGTTAAATGGATGAATGAATGACCAAGCCAAAAGGATGTACCATGGGATATTTCCTAAGCAAAAATGCGATTGCCTGCCTTCAATCGTTGTCTGTTTGTCTATCTGTCGGTGTGTGTCGGGCTGTCTGGGTGTCTGTCTGTCTGTCTGTCTATCTATCTACATTATTTACTTGGTTAATCTGTGATTGGTTGATACAATTTTTATACTATATGTCACAGGTGGGAAAAGTGCGGCCCGCGGACCGTATGTGGCCCGACAGCGATTTTTTTTTTCATTGGCTAGAAAACACCTTGCGTTTTATGGTCCGACACTGATCATATGTAAAAGGTACCGGTAACATTAAAACTGAGAATAAAGTGGTGTAAAAGCAATGCTTGGAGGGTTTTGGAAGTACTTTTCCTCTCCGACCGATTTTTATGCCCACCCTTATATATAT